TCAAAAAAAAAAAAACGATTCTTCATCATTTTCTAAAGCACTTGTTCATAGTTTCAGCCAAAAGCTGCTTCTACAGCTGAATAAACAATCATTCGTTTTCCTGCTGCATCGAAATGCAAAAATCTCATAACAACAACCTATTCTAAGAAACTTCTTTTTTTATCGACCTTTATAGCATTATCAGTAAACTGTCAATTCAAGCGACATCTTTTCTTTTACTTTGATTAATTTTTTAGCGATACTTGAAAATAGCTTCAGAAAAAAAAAACAGTTTCTATAGGTAGATAAAAATAAGTAGAAAATTACAATAAAGTGCTAATTCCTTATTATTTTAGGCTATCAATTTATTGCTTCTTATACAACACCACCGGTAAGACAGTTTGAGTATGGACAGTCGGGACAGTTTCAGGGTATTGGAAGCGGTGCTGTACCAGTTGCCGGTCCTGGTATTCAGTATCAACCAACTGGTAATCTACAGCCATATCTTACTGGGACACTAATTGATGCTCGTCCTAACTGTTAGTTTCATTTGCTGTTAATCACCAATTTACTCGTCTAATATGCTACTTTTTTTAAAGTAATTATTTATGTAATTATAATCCTTTAATAAGCCAAAAGTAAAAAAATCACCCGAATATAGTAATATAATTTTTTTTTTCACAGATAAAGAAGACATTTTCAATATTTAGTTAGATCGTTGTTTTGAGAGAAAATATTTCATTGTAAGTCTTAACTTAACTGTCTATTTAGTTAAAAAAAAAAGTTTTTTTTTCTGCTTTTGTTTATTGAGTAAAGTAACTGTAATAAGTGTTGTTTTTTTAGTGGATAATCCGGATTTTCTTGATTGTATTTATGCTGCTCCAAACGGACTTGGACGAGTTGTCGAGCAATGTTTGGTTGATATTGGTTGTTGTGCAACAACTTGTTGCAACAACACTTCATGGTTTAGATATGCTTTATTAATTTTATGACTATTTTTCTGTAAAATTTGACAAGTCAATTTAGAAGATTTGTAAAAAAAAAAAAAAAAAAAAAAGAAATGTTCAAAAAGAAGTTTTTTTTTTTGATTGAATTTCTTGTTATGCCCCTACTGATTCGTCTAAGCGTAAAACAAAACAAAGTTTTACTACTTCTTTTTTTTTAAATCTAAGTATCGGTATGTAAGAAATTACGCAAAAAAGTAAACAAACTATTTATACCGTTTTTGCTTCTCAACTATAGCCAATAATAACTCAGTGAACACCACTGATCAAAGAAGCACCTTTTGCTATGATTTTAATCAGTTTGACCAAAAGTTTGATCACCATTTTAGCATCAGTGAAAAACGATAATCACTCATTGTAGACGGAGGCTTCGTCAACGAAACAAATTTGCTCCAACATTTATGTACATGCATTAAAGTTATTTAAAAAATTATCTGCAACAAAAGTTTAAAGCAATTTTTTCTTTAGCTTTTTTTCTTTAGTCAAAAGAAATTATTATTTTTTTTATTTTATAGCTATAATACTGTTATTTGGTCTAAAAACTAGTCAGAATTTACTGTTTTTTTGACTAAGTAAAAAAAAAGTTGACAATAAAAAAAACCTGTTTTAAACAAGTGATTAACTGCATTTCTTTTTTGTTAAGATTGAAATGCGGAGTACCTTCTGAGTATACTGAATACAAAATAGCCGGAGAAAAAAAAAGTTGACTTCTAGCAACAAACTGTTGGCTAGGAAAAGCATAGAATAAGCAATAAGTGTGTGTGTGTGTGTGTGTTTGTGTGCTTAACTGATGACGTCAGTTTGCTTACACAAGCGATTTGTGCAAATAAATTTTCTGCTGATGACTAACTGTTTATTGCCGCTATTGTAATGCATTGTCCGCCCCATTTTTATATTTCTTATAAAGCTAATAATGAGATAACCAAAATAAAAAAAAGAAATTCAATGAAAGCAATAATAGCATCGTAACAAATATTAATTTATTTTAGTTTTTGGCTATTGCTTCGTTACTTTTTCTATAAGCGGTCAAAGGTATAACATTTGACTGACTGTTTTTAACCCTCCAAAAACTTTGCAACACTTAATTCTGCACTACGGCCTTCTTTTTGTACTTTGAAGTTTTTGATCTTTTTTTGAGCTTATCTTTAACTTATCTACACCTACCTGAACTTTACTGACTGAACTTCAAGAAGCAATAAGACGATGACGATAGAATACAGTGGATTTTGTGCTGTTATTAGCAGCAAAACGCCTACGCTTTATAACTGGCGATAAATTTCCAATGGGCTAAAATAACCGTTGAAATTGAATGATTTTTGATGTTAAGCTGTTGATCAAAAATCTTTGTTAAAATTGTATGATGAAAATGACACCAAAACCGATCACCTTTCAACAACACTTAACCAATTGTTTATATTTCTGACCGCAAACTAAGGAAACTGTAAAATACAGAAAAAAAAACTGAAAAATAAGCATCACTAACTGCACATATTTGATAACAATACTTTTTCAAATGTTTTTTCATCTGTTTTTTTTCTTTGCTTTTCAAAGCTGTTCGAAAAATTTCTTTTTAAAACTAAGCAAAAAAAAAAAAAAAAAAAA